GTTCAACATCTTGGTAGATTTTGGAATGGTTCATTCGTTTTAAAATAACGGTCAAGAGCTGCGAGCATTGTCTGCAGACTGTCCGGTTCGTAGTCGGTTCCATCCTCTTTTCTAACTTCGGCGTAGAATTGCTGCAGTATTTCGTCTAACCGCTGTTGGTCCAGCTGCATTAGCTCAGCTTGAATTCCTCGCTCCGCCTTCCATTTCAACAGTCGATTAGCCCAGGTATTCGTGGACCTCTTCGTGTTACTGTTGACATTCTTATCGAGTAACCGCTGTAGCTCGGCCATGGACGCTGTGCCGAAGTTCCCGTGCTCACGAAATTCGGAACTCGTGTGAGGGCGGGGTTCAACTTTAGAGTCAACTCGCGAGAGGGCCGACGGTTGACCCTCGTGTTGACCTGGGGGTTGCATTTCGGAAAAGAACGTCGCGGGGAGCTCGGATATGAGCTTATCCAGCCCGTCGTCAGCTTCGTCGTTTGTCGAGAGTAGCCATTCCGGACTGACGATGCTACCGATTTCGTTCATTTTCGAACAATGAAGCGGTTGCTACGGACGCTAATTTTTGGTTGCTACCCATGGGAAGTATTTCGCGCTGAATGCGTAACTACATGATTTGATTGGTCAATTTTCTAACCGTATTACGCAGAAAATAGTCGAATTTTCTAAGGGCTAAATGTATGGATTTGTTACAAAGTATACTATTAAGTTTAGTAATCAAGTGTCTAAAACCCGTAGTAGTGGGCCTGCCTGGTATCTAAGTACTAAGTCTCTAAGTTGCAAGTTAGATCACTGTGAAGAATTTAAATCACTGAGGTTTCACAAAGGTCAAATCCATAATAAAGGAAGGCCCATTTGCTCCTAGTAGCTTCGAGCTCATCATACAAGCATCGCAGCGCTCAGCCCGCGTCGCTTGGACGATTTGTTGTTGGTCGCTAGTCAGGCGTTTCCCGGTAGAGCCATGTAGCTGATTTCAACGTCTGACTAGCGACAAACAACAAATCGCGTCCAGATCAAGCGACGCGGGCTGAGCGCTCCAGTGGCAGTGTCTTGCTCCGGCGGGGCTTGCAGGATATATCCGTCCAGTTGTGCTGCGATTTTGTACGATGAACGCGTCCTGCTCGCGGCAGTCTGACAGCTATGAGCAATGGGCACGAGCCTATATTCTAGCAGGCAGAGCAAACTGGGTAACGGGTCATGCACACTATCGAAAAGACTAAGCGAAACTGCGCTCTCCGTGCCGCGGTTCTAAGCCAGTTAGACACTGAACTCGTCTCTCCTCGGTTTGAAAACCCTCGCGGGTCTGGATGAGAATGACGCAATAGTGACCTCGGCTCCGCCTCGGTCACTATTGCGTCATTCTCACCCCTCTCCCTCGGGTTATTCAAACCTCGTAGTGACTTTTTCCAGTGATCTAATCTATACATAATGACCTGTGGGAGTCCTAACTCCTCACTAGCATCTCTGTGCTTCCACAAACACCATCCCTACCTTGTCTCATTTTTATACGATCCCTATATGAACTCTTTTTTGTTTTTGATTTACTTGTTGTAATGGTGAATGTTTAACACTTCACCTAGGCAACAAGATAGGGATTGTGTGATGGGGTTTGGGGTGTCAGTGTACTCAAATCTGTTCATTAACCATACTTCATGTATGCCATCCCTATCTTGTCTCCCTTTCTTATTAGAGCGTATTAGAGCCATCCCGTACTTAGTGCCCAGGTTTTGAGCGTTTCACGTTGACCGTACCAAAGCAGGCAGCCACTGCGCATAATGGAGACGGACCGTTCGCTCCTGGGTGAGTCGCGCACGTGTTTTCTCTCCCATAGAGAATGTATTGAGGATGAATATGAATAAGCTAATGACTTTGGAAAACAAGGTAGGAAAAATTTATTCAATCACCAACATCAAAATTCCAACAATGCATCCCTACCTTGTCTCCCTTTCTTTTTATACGATCCCTATATGAACTCTTTTTTGTTTTTGATTTACTTGTTGTAATGGTGAATGTTTAACACTTCACCTAGGCAACAATATAGGGATTGTGTGATGGGGTTTGGGGTGTCAGTGTACTCAAATCTGTTCATTAACCATACTTCATGTACAATTACAGACATATGTGATCCCATTATAATGTATTGCGTTGGGCTATTTGTTGTTGTTTACAGTAAACAATGTTGTTTACAAAGAAATAAGTATGACCAGTCTCTTCGGATGATGGATATCTACATTCTTACAAAATTTTTTATTTACTTGTCTCCCTCCTTTTTTTACTGCACACATTTGCACTTTTAGCAGGTGGGAGAGAAAGTACTCTATATCTCCTCCACCAACAATCTGAACTATAACCCTCACCACTTCTTGTTCTATGCTGACGTGTATAGCCGTCGAAATGAGTGCAATGCCGGAGGGTCAGACCTGTTTCTGCTGTTCTGAGAAAAGCTACACTCCGTTGCCAAAAGTGTGGTCCGTTGCTACCAGTGCTACTTGAAGCAGCATGAGAGAGCTAATTTCTTTCATGTACCTGAAAAATGGGAGGTAATACCTATTCAGTGGTCTATTTCTTCCAACTGGGCTCGTGCTTGGGACTCCTCTCCCATTGTAGGCAAACCAGGGTTTCATGTCCCCAGTGCTCAGAGTTCCAAAGCTCTCCTCATGTGAGGGAGCTCAGAGTTCCAAAGCTCTCCTCATGTGAGGGAGCTGAGGGTTCCAAAGCTCTCCTCATGTGAGGGAGCTCAGAGTTCCAAAGCTCTCCTCGTGTGAGGGAACTGAGGGTTCCAAAGCTCTCCTCATGTGAGGGAGCTCAGGGTTCCAAGGCTCCCCTCATGTTGGGAGCTCGGGGTTCCAAGGCTCCCCTCATGTTAGGGAGCTCAGGGTTCCAAGACTCCCCTCATGTTGGGGAGATCAGGGTTCCAAGGCTCCCCTTATGTTAGGGAGATCAGGGTTCCAATGCTCCACTTATGTTAGGGAGGTCAAGGTTCCAAGGCTCCCCTCATGTTGGGAGCTCAGGGTTCCCAGGCTCCGCTTACGTTAGGGAGGTCAAGGTTCCAAGGCTCCCCTCATGTTGGGAGCTCAGGATTCCAATGCTCCCCTCATGTTGGGAGCTCAGGGTTCCAAGGCTGCCTTTATGTTAGGGAAATCAAGGTTCCAAGGCTCCCCTCATGTTAGGGACCTCAGAGTTCCAAGGCTCCCCTCATATTAGGGAGGCAGGGTTCCAAGGTATTGAGCACCCAATTTTATTTACATGTGAATGCGAGCCAGTGTTGGTAAGGGCTCGGCTGTGGGCTGCAAGTCCTCACTACCCAAGATATGCATTCAGTTTTGAACTTTTGGATTGGGCCCGAGTCACTTCTGCTCGAATGCCAAGTGGCTCTCAAAGATTTTGCCAGGTACTGTATTTTAGATGCCCATTTCCCTCGCTGAAGGTACCAAACATTGTTAGTGCACTACAGCTGCACAGCTTGACTTCCCTCTAGAGAAGAGATGTTTATTCATGCCTCATTGATGCCTTTGAAGAATATAGGTAAGGTAAACTTGTTCCTTTTGCCATATGGAGCTAATTGCACATATGCAGGTTTTTTAAACATGAATTGCGCCATCTCTCCTTCCTTGCGAAAGGATTAGATGCTGGCAACCAATGCCCATCTTGTCCAAAGGTAAGGGCCATAGTTTACTTTTGAAGCAGGCTATGTATTCCATTATAGGATGGTGGTAAAGTGGTTTATGCTCTGGATGCTTTATTTGGACTTCCTCGTAAAAAAGCAGCAGGATGCAGTTATAGACCAGCGATACTTGGAAAATTTTTCTTCTGTGATAAGTATCGGTTGATGAGTTTGTTTCTGCAGAGAGAAGTAAGGATAGAAATGTTCTTCAAGTGAGTTTAGAAGAAACATTCATGCACTTGCACTGATAACTTTTAGTAAATTCTTTACAACCATTCAGGATTGTAGCAATTTTGTTGCTGGAACCATGCTAAGAAGTTCAAGTAGGTACAAAGCCTTGGATGAGACGGGAGTATTTGGTTCAGCATGTAGGCATGAGTTTCCAGCAAAGTTTCTGGACATGAAGCACGGTGAACGGTTAGTAAACACAGTTTGGAAGATTGCGTACTATTTCTCTATATCTGTAGCTTATCATACTCTGTGTGGTTGATTGAGGAGCTTCTGGATCATGTAAATCAGCATGAAAAGTCACCTACGGATGTGTTCGTATTGTATGATATTGCTTGCTCCCTCTATAAACATTTGCAAGTAGGTGTATAATTATACATACAAGCATTTTTTCAAGTTCGTCTTTAATTTCAGGGGATGCTAGAAAAGATCCATCTTTCTCTTCTATATTTCACTCATATGGGCACAAGGCATCATGTCAGGTACTTACTGCCTGTGATATAATCAGAAAGTACTTGTTATACCTTAGATAAGGTTTGGTCATATGAGGTGCAATGGTATAGGCCTTAGCGATGGAGAAACTATGGAACGGATGTGGGCATATCTTCGACGATTTGGACGAATGACAAAGGAAATGAGACCAGCACATCGCACTGACATCATCATCATCATTTCATCTGCCTTGGTTGACTCTGGTCTGAAAACCAAGGCTAAACTTGGTAGGAGAATTGAATTCAACTAAGTCCCATGTATATTCTACATGCATTATTTATAGGCAAGCTTCTTCTGCTGAGATGGAAAAGAACTCAAGAGGTCCATGACATAGCAACTAAGACTTATCATCACCTTGCTGAGCAATATTATGATGGTAGCTAAATGCGCTTAAAACTAATTAAAATACTTATTATGCAAAAGGTGGAGTGTCCGAAGAAAGGGTATCTACATTTGTGGCTGAAGAGCTGACCATTGTTGAAGAAGACAAATCTATGGCACTGAGTCTGTTGATTACATTTTGTGAATGTCATGTACTTAGTTTACTTCAAAATTGTAGGTTACATTCCGTCCTGTAAAAGAGAATACTTTGTACAGTTCATATCTCACTTTGCAGTATGTTTCATATTATCACTGTACAAAATATCTGATTTTTTAGGGAAACACTTTCTAATGGGGGCACACCTCAACAGCAGAAGCTTGCTCTATACCATACCATTGCACAGTATGCTATACACATCTTCAGAAACTGTGTAATAATAGTTCTATACCTGTTTAGGCTAGGCACCAAGCTACAGGATTCAGGAACTTGAAAAGCAGCACCACGTACCACATCGCTGGGTACCGACAGATGTTGAGTATATGGAAGTTCAAAGCTCATTCTCAATGGAAAAGAAGAACCAGATTTCAGAGGCTCTGTGGGCTACATGTGCAAGGCGATTGTTTCTTCTTAAGCTCAAATCAAGATATGCAGGTATAGAGGTGTCGGCTCAAGTTTTATTCATGAATTTATTTCTGTTATTATGGCAGATGGTCAGAAGATTGCTAAAAAGTTATCAGTTCAAATAACGAAAGAAACAAAAACTTAAAGTACTGTTACGAGAGTATAATTTATTCTGTAATGCTGCTGGAGAAGATGGGGACAGATTGTCCATTGCAGATGCAGTTGATTCTGTGAGATTGGCTCAAATACTTACCCCTAGGTCCAGATGTTACTCAGAAAAGAAGGAAGAGCTGATTGAAGCATACTTGCTTCTTTGTCGCAGTAGTGAAGAACTGTACATGCTGAAGTGTGACATGCAAAATGCAATAAACTACTATGAGAACAGGGTTAAGGTGCTCGAAACCACAATTGAAGGTCAACCAGAATTCCACAGCAGTGCAAGAGGGGTGCATGTGCACTCCTATTAGGCCTCTTACAGGACACACAAACTGAGCTAACCAAATTGAGAAAGCTCTTCTCCGAGGAGGAACTTCACCCTCATCCTGAATCAGACAGTCAGATGATGAGAGTGACGATGATAGTGAAGATTGAAATTCTACTGTTCTGTAATTGGAATGTCATGTATATATGAGCGGTATTATATATATGCCCTAGAGTGAGTCAATGCACGATGAACACTTCCATGGCTTTCCTTTATATGTTTATTCTGTATCAATACCCTCACATCCCTTGTGATACCACTTCTTGCAATTGCTGCATTCAATCATTGCTTTATCTTTATTATTGGGCATTCTACATTGACAGAAGATCTGTTCCCTGATTATTTTCCTCACTCGACTTCCTATTGGGACACGTCTTTGCTTCGTGCATGGAAATCTTTGAACAACTCCAGCTTCAAGGCTCCCCAAAAGATGAAGTCGCATTGCAGAACAGTCAAAGTTGCAAAGAACTGGATCTTTCCCATAGACTAGTTCAGTCACAAATGCAACAGCAAACAGACCACAGTCTGTTAGATTAGGCTGCGCATGAACGTTCATTATGTCAAAAAGTAAAACATCCTTCTGCGGTTTAATAAATCCACATATTAGCTCTTTGGTCTTCAAACTTAAGTTTGGGGACCAGCCACTATCATACACACAAACACTATCTTGATAAAGTGCCGTTTTACCCAGGTGGATGTTGATATTTGAAACCGTGATCCAGTGATTATTCGAGACATGGAGGACTTGGACAAAAGTTGAGGAATCATGGGAAATTTCTGCTTTCCAACCCTTTTTGCGCACTGGGTACTTTTCCAGCCCAATACTCCATCACTCTGCTTTTTCAGGAGGGTTTGTTTGGCAAAAATCAAGGCATCGTTAAGCCATGCGGATGATTAAAGAATCAACTTGTCGTTAAACGTTAGCTCAAGGTCTTTGATCCAGTAGTTTGGCTCCTCCTTTACAGGGCTCGAAGATACAACGATAGGATGAGTTTCCTGAGGTCATTAAGTGAAAAGATGGATTATCACAGGCCACACCACATGCGGGATGTAGCTATATACTTACAGTCAAGGATAGAACAGGAGGATTGTCAGTGGAAATGTTCGTTTGTTCATCTTTCATAGGTGAACTCTGAGTTTGTTAGTAAAGATGATGAAAATCAAAATAACATAATTATTTACAGTAACGAGCATATCAGAAGAATCTTGATTATTGCCATCACTGCCTTTGTCATCATCGGTAGCATTACCTATTATTATGATGAGTTAGTAAGCTTTGCTGGGATACAAAAGACTAAACCCACTAGTAGCAGATGTAAGGAGGGAGAGTAAACCGACTTCATTCTTCATCTCTCCTGCAGCACTCTGGTGTAATGAAGATTGACTGTGTACTAGCCAAGCATGATGTGTACCAATCAAGAATGATTACCTTCACAGATGACTTGGTTTCCTTCTTCCCCCGTTTCTGAGCAGTCTGCCCACCTGGGGTCTCAATCTCTCCTGCAGCACTCTGTGTAATGAAGAGTGACTGTGTACTAGCCAAGCATGATGTACCAATCAAGAATGATTACCTTCACAGACGACTTGGTTTCCTTCTTCACCCGTTTCTGAGCAGTCTGCCTACCTGGGGTCTCAATCTCTCCTGCAGCACTCTGTGTAATGAAGATTGAGTGTGTATATACTAGCCAAGCATGATGTGTACCAATCAAGAATGATTGCCTTCACAGATGACTTGGTTTCCTTCTTCCCCCGTTTCTGAGCAGTCTGCCCACCTGGGGTCTCAATCTCTCCTGCAGCACTCTGTGTAATGAAGATTGAGTGTGAGACTATAGCAAACTAGCAAGCATGGTTCAGCTAACCTTTCTCACAGATGATTGATTGGGTTTACTCGAAAGAACCTCAGAAAGAACATCTTCAATACTTGGAGGATTACCTATAACAAAATACAGCACACAAATAGAGTAAAAAACTGCAAAAGCACTCTCACTTACTTGCAGTAACCAGAGAGGTCAAAAAATGGATTACTTTTGGGTGTGCATATATCTTTGAATCTTCTGTTGTAACAACCAAAAGCAAGTGCAGAATACCCAAGTTCTTGAAGTCTTTGTATCTAAAAAGAAAGGAAACTTTGACACATTATGAGGGTAGATATCAAGCACAGAGCTCCCTACGACACTACAGTAAGAGCTCTTCCCTACCAATGGTCATCTATGAAATTCTGACCTCCCTAACATGAGGGGAGCCTTGGAACCCTGACGTCCCTAATATGAGGGGAGCCTTGGAACCCTGATCTCCCCAATATGAGGGGAGCCTTGGAACCCCGAGGTTCCTGGTCTAGGTGGGGGGAGTGTGAATTCTTAGTTCATAACTAACTTTTTAAGTGTATGCTTTTGAAAATACTTCTCCCCTCCTGTTTGATCTCCCTTGTAGAGAGGCTTTTAGTGCTCTGCAAGCGGCGCTTTCCCAGATCTTCTTTCTCATCTGGTGTCATGACCTTGTAGTGGCTGCTTGCAACTTGTGAGAAATCTTTTGTTCCTTTTTTCATCAGTTCTTTCCCCTCTAAAAAACAATACTGCCAATTAGCACCACTTTTACTCACCCTTTGTCTTTCCAAAATCCTGCATAAAAACTTGGCAGGCAGTTAGCTTTAGCCTTTTGGCACCCCCAGAAGCTAAATCAGGAACTTTGGCGTGTCTTTTGATAAAATTCCTTTTCTTGATCCAATTCTGCATAAATAATAGGTTTTAGTACCTCCTATACCTTAGGAAAGAGTACACTACCTTCACTTGATCAACTTCAAGTCCCGCTTCTCTTGCAGCAGAGGCCATTCTCGTGGAATACAGCTCACCCACACCTTTCATGCCAGCGTTGTAGTGAGCACCAAGAATAGCCTTCTGCCTAGCAGTAACCCTCCTAGCCCTGCTCGCACTATGCACTTCATATCTACTGCTTGCCGACTCGGTCACGACCGCAGACTCCTCGCTATCCGACTCCTCGCTTGCCAGATCCTCCATGCTGGCGACCTGGTATACGTACTAGGTGGGTGGAGCTACTTCCCCGTGTGGGTGTGGTGAACTATGGAACCTGGTGCCGCACAGGTGCAGTCGAGGTTCCTTTATTTCCCCCTTACGCGTGAGGGAAAAAGTTCTTGAACCGGGTGTCTGTTCACCAGGGCAGTCCAGAGGTCGTCACTGAAACATCATGAGCGCGCTAGCCGGTTCTCGCAATTACCTACGCATGCGCGGCCGGGTTGGCAGTATTTGGTCATCACTCATGGGGGACCAATTGGCATTGACGGCACCGCGCTCGCAAATGAGTGGGCGTGGCACCCGGAAGTCATGTGACTACAAAGGAACCAGCACGTGGCGTGCGCGTTAGTAAACAAAGCCGCATGTAAACACGAGGGATATCCAACACGAGCGAGTAACTACCACGTCTTCCAACCACGCCAAGAGCTAAACCAAGAGCAGATCCACAAGAGCATTGGTGACACCCTTATCAGTTGCAGGTATAATGAAATGTCTGTGTGTAAAACCCTGAGTAATAAAAGGAAAGTGGTTATACGAATTGAGGATAGGGATTCCGAGGATAGTAACAGCTACGGAATAGATAATATCCGAGAGTTCGACTGGGTATTGGTTGGCTATGTCACGCATGATGTTCCACATAGGCCATACGCGTTTGGTGGCCGTGGCGTTCTCGCCACATAAACTCATCCAGGTAACTAGCCGAGCGTGGCAACCCTTCATTCTCTTTAGTTTTCCTTTAACTCGATTCCAGTAGGACTCTATATGTTGAGTATGTGTCCCATTGGCTGCAACAAACTCAACACTGTGGTTAACTGTCCGATGACCACCAATGCCTGGAAGGGTACTCACATTGTTGTGTAAGCGGCCCACTGATCCGAGTGGATAATTGTGCCAGGATGGATATGTGCCTGGATTATAGGCAACATTCCGCTGGTGATAGCACAGAGCAGGTTCGTGTGACACGTCTACCATGCCGAAGACCCACACCTCTTGTTGAGGGCGTCGTCCACGATGATACTGTAGATATGAGATTTATTTATTACGTATGTATGTGTCCTTGTAAATGTGCTATTGCTATATATCCTAGTAGTCATTTTTCACCTTAGGTTTATGGCGGAAGAGGCTTTCATCAATCTGAACAGTGGCATTCTGTCCACCAAGCACAATTTGCATGTGAAGTAGCTTTGTGGAACATACTTCACGCAGCCATTGGTAGACGTCACATGCTGTGCTGCTGTCAATTCCGACATCCTCCGACACACGAGTAACAGCATACTCCCGTGACCAGAGGTGCAAAAGGAGCAGCCACTTTTGCAGGGTGATGTGAGATTTTTCAAAAAAACTCCCACTTCTGATGCTCTTCCTAGTCTTGCAAGTTGGACACCACCCATCACTAACGTCTGCTCTTGGTCTCTCTCGCATAGCTACGCTACAGCGGCTGCAGTTCTGCTGTGTTGCTAGCAGGTGATCCACCAAACACGACAGGGCCAATTTCCAGTAAAGCCATCTTGCACACATCGGATAACCTACGATCTCCCGCCAATATTCGTATTCACCGCCAAATGGAAGGCATGCGCATAGCGTAGTAAAGACGCTGCAAGACGCCACTATATCGCGCTGCGCAAAAATGTAAAGACGCGACATTAGTTTTGGTGACTAAAGAAGACGCGGTATATATCCTGCTGCGCAATAATGTGTAGAGACGCGCGAGAGGCTGGATTTGTAGTCACATGACTTCCGGGTGCCACGCCCACTCATTTGCGAGCGCTGAATCCAAGGTGCCGTCAATGCCGATTGATCCAAGCACTCTTTACCCAATGGGGACCTCGACCTTGATCTCGCTTCAATAGAAATAGAAGTGCTTAAAATGTATTTGTAATAGGATGAATTTACCTCTTGTGCCTGCGTGAAAAAGATGTAAATCAACACACCATAATGCAATAAGGTTACCTGCTCCCCGTGGAACTGGGCGGCGTGGAACTGGGAGAACCACTGGGGGAGGAGGGAGTTGTGGGGGAGCGGGCACTGGGAGAGCCACGGGGGGAGGAGGGAGTTGTGGGGGAGCGGTCACTGGGAGAGGAGGGAGTTGTGGGGGAGGGGGTGGGCCTACTGCCACTGAAACAGTCAAAAGTAGACAAGGGACAGATAAAGTGCATGTGTATAAATTATGCATAATCAAGAGTTGGTACTGGAAAGGAAAAGGCTTTAGTGTGACCCTTGGTATGAGATTGCGAAACTTACGGTCTTCATCGTCTGCTGCAGAAAGTAAAGGGGTGAGTGCATATTAATGTATATAAATTATGCATAAACCTACTCTCTCCAGTAGGTATATTGTAGGCTGGAGGAAAGGAAAAATCTTTAGTGTGACCCTTGCTGTGAGATTGCTTAACTCACGATCTTCATCGTTGTGAACTGTAGAAAGTAAAGGGGAGAGAAGTGATAGGAAAGAGAAAGTGCACATCTGTGTATAAATTATGTAACTTACTCATGGTCCTTGGAGGAGGAGTTGGGGCTGGAATTGCAAAATATTTAGTGTGACCCTTGCTATGATATTGCTTAACTCACGTTCATCCCGAGGTTCTGTACAGATCGAAGGAGAGAGAGGGGCGTAAAGGTTCGAGAAAGTGCATACACAACTGCGCATAAACTTACCCACACACTCCATATAGGGAGTTTCAGCTGGAAGGAGAAATAAAGTAACTCCATATGAAATGTGCATTAACTTACAGTTTGTCCTTGGAGGATGATCTGCAGGTGGAAAACCAGAGGGAGAGAGAGAGAGACTGTTACTCCTCAAAGGGGGGAGTATGGCATAGCTGAATATATACTCACCTTGGTACGGGGAGGGAGTGGGAGTTTTTGCTAGAGTGAACCTGACTGACTTGACACTGTTTTGTGCAAACTTGCTTACTTCGTTCACCTCCTCCTCTGTATTGTTCCATCCTGTGGTGTAGAACAAAGATAATCTAGGAGCACTTTTAAATTTTTGCTAACCGTAAGGGGAAGCCATCCTGCCTACTCGTAGATCTAAGGGACAGCTGCGGTATGGCAGCACTATTTATCTAAGATGGCAGCTGCAATTATGGCAGCTGCTTGTCTACTCAAGTGTAGTGTTTACATAGAGCACAATGGTGACAAACATCATCAGACTATATGTACAACAAGAATGCAATCCCTATTCCAAGGTGTCAGTCTACAGCACAGTGTGTTTATGTGTTGAAACTACACTAAAGACTGTCGGCATGTGTACTCCTTGAACTCTGCAACCTCGGCTTTGTTGACTGGTGCGGGTGACCTGTAAGTAGGTAGACAAAAGCAGTGCATAAAATAAAACTCGGCTCGACACTGCGAGGGAAAATGAATGATCATCACTAAGTATGGTAGTACTTAGTATATAGGGATTGGCATGGTACCTAGCATCATAGATGTATGGGGCTATGATAGGGAGTTTTGTTCATCTTCTTCTTCTTCAGATTCAATACCCATAACTCAAAAACGAAAGTAATGAAATTTTGTAAGAATATACCCGAAGAGACTGGTCATACTTATTTCTTTGTAAACAACATTGTTTACTGTAAACAACAACAAATAGCCCCAGGCAATACATTATAATGGGATCACATGACTCACAAATGGTAAGAGCTATGTGAACGAAACTTTGTAGACAATGCATAATGTATTCAATCACCAACATTAAAATCACAACAACACATGTTTGTAAACAACAACAAATAGCCTCAGGCACTTTTCTTTAACTTTACTTCTTCACTTCTCCAACTTTCCAATGATAGTGTAGCCAGACATCTGGACATAGAGCCCTGGAGACAGTGACCCCAACCGGTTGACTTACATTACTCCTGTTTCACACACTTAACCTGATTGTTATTGTGGCTGTGTCATGTCCATCACATACATCATTCCTGCCTATAAGTATAGGTTATACGATGGCGGCGCGTGGTTTACTGGTTTTACACGAGTGGGCAGTTTTGATTGGGCACGAGGGCGTAGCCCGAGTGGTCTATCAAAACTGAAGCCATGAGTGTACAACCAGTAAACCACAAGCAAAGCCATCATATAACGTGTTTGTATGATGACATCCCGCGGTAAGGCTTTGACCAATGAGATTGCGCAAAAGCTTTCTAAACGCCCTCTTTTTAACGCACACCCTCGAGTGTACGGACCGAGAGAGCTAGCGATCGATCGGGAGCAGAGAGACAGCTGCAATAAGCGCTTTAGTTTGGTCAAGCTGGGCGGTTGTGCAGAAGCCATGGTAATTTTTTCGAG